TGTTAGCCTTACAATACACTGTCGATCTGCCTCTCACCCTGTGACTGCTTGGAGCAGGTCATCTGGAGCTGATGGTTTGATCCCTGGCTCCACTCTGCGTTCAAACGTATCTTTGGGCAAGATACTGAACCCTGAGTTACTGACAATGCATTCATCAAGGAGAGTAGAATATAAGAAATATAGCTATATAAGAACCAGTACATTTCCGATTTCAAATGGGTAAAATCTCTGCTATGCAACTGTACTCGATAAACAATACATTAGTTGCTATCAATACTTTAGATTGAATCATAAAAAGCCAATCATTGACTGTGTCAGTCTTCAATAGAGAATGGATACGCATTTACAATCTTTACAGTCATGCTCCCTGTATTCAGTATTTGTGTCACTACACATTTTTGAGGATTGAGCAAACGGAAGAGTAATGTTTAGCCATCTAAAAAGAGAGCGATGACTCACGATGACCTCTAGCAGCTTGTGATAAGCATTTTCGACTTTGGAAAATAACTGCTAGCTACTGCCCTCATTAAGGCTCCAGTGCTAACAAGACAATTTTAGGAGCATTTTTCATGGTTGGCTACATTTGACGACGGCTACACCTGATTCATCCACTCTATCCGTGTTAAAAAGCTCTCAGGTGAATAGGATGTTTATATGTATTTTTTTTTCCTTTAGGGGATTTCGAAAATGCACCTCGAGTCAAAAGTTTTCTTGAAATATCTAAGTAGACAGTAGCTGGAAGGTTTTAGCATGAGGTGAGAAATGTGCGAGAGGGGCTTGAGACTGGCCTTGTTAAGCAAGACAAGCTGCGTTGTTCAGGTTCAGGCCTTGTGATAAGCTAACTGACACACGCCAGCACTCACTCGGCTCACTTCAGCACACCGGCAGTCGGTTAATTACCGAGTCCGTTGGAGGTTACCGTGTGATTTCAAGTGAGATTTCAACTTCAACATCGGCCTTCTCGCCGCTTACCGTCGGGATTTCTCTACACATCGTTAGCGCCAGGAGGGGGGTCGTTTTAAAACCACCCGGCACTGACAACGTCACTGTGGCTCGTGTATCGACTGTGATCACGTTTAAATGTCAGCGCACCCCCACACGCGAGCCTCACACAAACCAACCAACTTCCTCTGCCTCGCGCGTTAAAAGTGAAAAACCCAGTAACAGTGTCATTCATTTTTTACCTCGCCGTTGCTCACGGTAGCTTTGGTTACTCCGCTCTCCTGCGTCGCCATCTTTCTTCGTCTCTACAAGCGCACCACACTGCTGGCTGGGAAACTGCGCGTACTCTCGCGAGAAGACTGTAGTTACGTCTTCAGAGAAGTGATCGAAAATGCGATGAATAAAGTCAGGTGATTTTTTTTCTGTTTTTTGGGCGGGGCCGGCGAAACCCCGTGACACACTTCGTCAGGAATGTTCGATCATGTAACAATAAAATGAAAAAATAAATAAATAAATAGTTAATTAATAATAAAAAGATTATTTTATCACCTAATGAATGACTTAGTAGATTTTTTATGGTTATTGCAGCATTAAATAGAAGTTTATTTCCGAAAGTGGGGAGGATAAAGACATACTATCCACAAGGCTAAATTTCGGGTTATTATCACAAAATCTGGACTTCTGAAAAAATAACTCCAAACTGAGAAAATAAACATTTTTTAGAAAAGGAGTTTAAATTTTGAATTGCTAATCAGCAAAAAGTACACCAAAATAAAAGCTTGCTTCTCATCATTGGTGTTATCTTTCTATTCATCCATCCATAGTTCTCACAGGTGTTGCATATAACCTCTCTAATTGGGTCATAGCCATTAATTACATGCTGTCAGTCCTTGTCCATGTATGTCTTATTATAGCTTCTCAGTCCACTTGTCATACTGTTAAGCTAGGGGATTTCCAAGTCAGTATGTCTTTAGTTATGTATCTGTCGCTCATACTCTAAAGTGAGTTTGGATTGCATGGGAGTTTAGCCCAAAGACCCTTACCAGAGCTGGGATTTGAAACCCTGACCTACTGTTCCAAAGAGAGCATTGTTGTCACTACACTATCCAGCTGGCTACAGGAGGAGATAGATACCACGGATGTCAAAACACAATAACTCCTTGCAATGCACTAAGATCTCCATCTGAAGTCCTGCACCCTGAGGCTCTATGAGCAGCAGAAAGAGGGAGGGTGAGGAGTGAGGTTAGTGAGTGTCGAGCCATGATCCAGGAAGAAACACAGAGCAGGAACAATCACTGAAGGACGAACCCCTGTATGGGATGTTCTATTGACATATAGAAGTGGCTCACATCAAGAAATCCCACTAATGGCTTGAAAAAGCCTAAAGGACAGCACAGAGGCTCTGATGATGGCAACATAAGAACAGGGTCTAAGCCCCAGATTTATAGAGGCAGGACAGCTGATAAGTTGCAGACTGTGTACAAAGCTGCAGCATGTAGTACCAGGATGGAGGATAAAAGCTGAGACCGCATACACTGAAAGGCAAAAATAAGTGGCCAGAGGTCCTGATGAGAGACACAATTGAGAGAATATAGTACCAGGGGCTGAAGAAAGAACTGATGTGAGTCGAGTGAGTTTCTATTGCCTGGAGAAGCTGTAAAACAAAATGGAAACCAGATTGACATATGATAAGAAATGAATATTACTGCAAATCAAATAGATTCACTCACTTTAATAAGCTATAAGTGTACTGGTAAACACTTCTCATTTCTAATCATTACGCTTTGGCACATAACACCAGTACCTCAGATAGACACAGATTTTAAGGAAGAGAGAAAACACCTGGACAATCTTCCATGTGTGACATTTCCTTAAAAAGACTTTTACATTTGTTCTATAAGCAACAGAGGACAAAGACATGAAGAGGTTTTGATCAGTAACATAAAACAAAGCATAAATAAGGCCATTTGAAACACAGTCCAAGAGTGAGTGTTGTGAGCACAATGAGGACATTTTTTTTTTTTTGTGCTTTACCTTGTGTTTTAACTTGATGGCCTTCGAGTATGTACGATCAAAATGCATCTGAAGGTACTTTGTATACTTCACAAAAACAATTGGTAAGGGTGCTACAGGCGGTAATCATAACCAGGTTTATTTCAGAGTTTACTCAAGTGTGAATCTTATTAACATTTAAATAATTTCCTCTGGGACTAATAAAGTATTCTGATTCTTATGTTCTCTGTGAAATTTTACATGCTGTGTTTACATTAAACTGCAGCAATTAAAGACTTGAAAATATGTTTTTTTTTGGGGGGGGGGTTGTTTTTTTTGATGCAATATAAAATCCATCTCAGGTTTCAGACTTGAGTAACAAGTTTCACCTAATAACTGGAATAAACTCATAGGTTTTAGATTCACGCTTAGATTTTTTTTAAACATCCAGTTTATATACAGTAGAGCTCAGGCTGAGCAATAAGTGAGCAATCACTGGTCACTAGAGAAAAAAATGCATTCTCCATCACCAACCAATGAAAAGTTGAATTTCAGTGATTTAGCGGTTGCTCGAAGTCATATTTCTGGGTTGCCAGTGGGTCGCTGGTCGGTCTGTAGGCATGTGTGACTGGAGCTTTAAGTAAATTCAAATTGCTCAGTGAAGAAAATAGTAAAATTGAGCCTCATCAAATTTTAAATGCGAAAGCTCTTTTAGTCCAGTGGTTCAAAAACATGCATGATACATTCAAGCGCACAAATTTAATGTTTAACAAGAACAATCGTGTCACAGAAAAATTAATGGAAATTACATTTTATCTTTGCTCTGAAAGCTAAAATCTGGACTGTTGCACATCCTACGTTCAAACAAAAATAACGAATTTAACTTTTAAAGAAAAAAGAAGAATATCAACCCTTGCACACTTTGGCACAAAAATTTCAGGCACGGTTTGTCTATGAGGAAATTTTTAACTGCAAAGTACGACGAAAAAGAGTAGGAAATATATCTGGTGAGATGGGATCTACTGTTTCTTCCTCTTCTGCCAAAATCCTTGTGAGTCAGACATTAAATTTGCCAGCGAGCAAGAATCTTAAACGACAGGAAGAAAAAGCACCTCGGGTTTAACTCACTTATACAAAGTTAGTAACACAATGCCGCTTTTTATCTTAGTGTCAAAGTGTGGCTGGGTGATTTTTTCCTACCAGCAACTCAGTCTTTAAACCAAAAAAGAAATGCAAAGACTACAGATAACTATAAACAGCTATATACAATAATCTTTGTACACAAAGACATTTACTAAACATGAGAACAAAAATAAAGTACAATTACAGGAAGCGCTATGAATTGAACAGAAGTGTTTGTAGTAAGGTACAAACAACAGAAACCTTCATTTTGCTGCAAAAAAGAAAAAAAGAAAAAAATCCCCAACCTTATGAAATGCCTGTTGGTACGAGAACCCAAAAGTCTGTCAAGTTACTGAGAGAGTGCTTTAGGATCATGCCTTCCAGAGAAGCACAGGCAAAACAATTCTAATTTGCCACACTAAAATGACGCGCCATCTTCTCTGCTTGGTGAGCGGATAAAGGTGCGAGGTTGGGGCAGAAAACTGTGCAGTCCTACTGTACGCGCCAGACGTCTGCTTTATATTTTTATTTCCGATTGAGTTCATGTTTGTTTTATAATTCATAGATTCATTACATAAGTCATCTTTTCAGGATTAATAAATGTGAAAATATATGTGTTTACATAAAGTAATTTTAAGTCACTGTTTTGGGATTGGAACCTAAAAGGGGGTACCTCTCATTTTAAGTATGTAAGTGCAATAGTAGCATGAAACCCTGTGTGAGAGGGAAGGGGAGGAGCATGGACAGAGAGGTTAGGAGTCTCACGGTTTTCTGACCGTGTGCACAGCTAGTTCTGGATAACTGCTATTTTTTGGAACTTTCATGCTTTTTTAGGAAGGAGTTCATTGTTACATCTTCAGTTTGTAATAAATAAACAGTCTTCAAATCATAATGCAACTGGAAGCATTTCTTTTGGAAACCAGGAACACGCGTCAGCCATAGACTCTCCTTTTTTGAAATTCGTTTATTGGAAATTACCCTACGCCTACATCTCGTCTAAACCGTAGTCCTCCTCAGGGAAATCCCCCACAGTCACACTCAGGGGCTTCACAAACGCACCATACTTGCTCTCGCACTCAAAGTACTGCTTCCCTTCGACACTACAGAGATACAATAAACAAGGCAGAGTCAGAAATCAGGACCAGTGTCACTGAAACTTTGAATTATTTAAAAACAAAGCCAGAAAAAGGCCCTCTTACGTTCCATTGTGTTTGCCCACTGGTTCATCGTACTTCACACCCACCCAGTAGCCCGGCTTGAAATCTGTTGTTCCTGCAAGAAATGCAACACTTATTGAGCTCTAGCAGGGCATATTAGGAAGACTTTGACTTCACAATAATGATATTATATGAAAAAAGAAGTGCAAACCCCCGCCAAAGCAGCTCACTGTCTGGGAAGTATTTACTTTTAAGGAACTGGTATTTTATTTTCCTAGAAGTTTGTAGTGCAGGAAAAATAACACATTTTGTCAAACATGACATACTATTTTAAGTCTGCATACGGTACTTGCTATAGTTTGACAATACACACCAGACTTGTCATAGTTATAAGCCTTCTTGTCAGTTATCAACCAACAAAGTTGATGATCATTAAGTTAACCTTGAAGACCTTGGCAGATGTCAGTTTTAATGGATTGTTAACATGACCCCCCTCTACACCACTACGAAGTTTTAGAAGAATTCATTCAAAACTTTTTAAGCCATCGTACAGACAGAAAGAATGGCACGCATGGAAATGCTAACAACAACATAACCTCTTTGGGGACCTTATTGAAGTTAGCAAACTACCTAAACTGAATCACTTTTATTTGCTATGTTTTTGGAGGGTGACACTTGGCGTTAGTACTCAGGTAAAGCTGCTTTCAAACTAAACTAGAACATGTTCAGGAAATGTAATTAGATTTTCTAGGCAGACTTAAAACCTGCTAATAAAATAGATTAAACAAAACAGTAGGGTTAGGTTAATTGGAAACAATAAATTGCCCATAGGTGTGAATGCGGGAGTGAATGTGAGTGCCAATGTGTTAGCCCTGCGACAGACTGGCGACCTGTCCAGCATGTACCCTGCCTCTCGCCATAAGACAGCTGGGATAGGCTCCAGAGCCCCCAACGACCCTGAAAAGTATAAGCGGAATTGGATGGATGGATGGATGGATGGACAAAACACGCAGAATCCAAACGTGATATTTAGCGTACTAAAAAAAAAGGTTTGTCCTCCACTGACATCACAGATTTGGGAATGGGCCTTAGATAAATGACAGCAAAGTCTGCTCTGCAGGACAGAAAATCCTCAGCAGCACAGGGTTTACACTAATGTCCTACACAAAGTAAACCAGCTCAGCTTTATCCACACTTACCAACATACATGACTGTGCCAAGCTTCGTGGGCTGACCGGGGACCTGCACTTTGCAGCGGCTGCCAACAGCAATGGCATCGGCAGCAGCCTTCTGCTCCTCTTCCCGTGCAGCATTCTCCGCCTTCTTCTTGGCCATTTCTTCCTCATTGTAGCGACCCACACGTTGCTTCTTCATAAATGACCTGGCTGTGTCTGAAGGAAAGACACAGTTTGTGATAAATGCAAAGCTCTTCAAAACAGACTGAAGTCTATTCATCTTCATTCTCATGAAGTAAGTCATCCACATTGGAACCAGCTATCAATAGTTAGCTTAAAGAACATAAACAGAACAAGTGCAGAATGCAACTAACGATCATGGACATACTTCCCATTCAGCTGACTTATTTTTTTATTTATTTAAATAAAAAATACTGTACCTGTTCTCTTATCATAAGCATCATCTGGGAGCTCAAATTTCTCCACTTTGGAAACATCAGTGAACTCGCCCATCTGCCCGCCACTTCTATCAACAACCTGTAAGAGAAACAACGTGAAAGACAAGCAATTATTAAGTCACGCAGTTGTGACTTAGTAACAGCCTATAAAAGCCACCAGAACTTTAGCTTTTAGCAACTTAGATATGATCTTTTGTTTACTGTTGTTAGTGTGGTAATTGTAACATTATTGTTGTTTAACAATAAATCAGTTTTACACTTACTGGACAATTTAAGTGAGTGCTAGTGTATTTAAATGGAAAGGATTATTACCTTTTCAATCATTAAAACACTATCTGCACAGCAGAGTTCTTATTTTTGGACATCAAAGTTTCTGGATGCATGCAGAGTGAATAGATTTGGGATTCAGACACTTAACTAAAAACCCCATTCAATGCCAGAGAGGGATGCTCTATCCCAATATATTCAACTGTGTTGTTAAACCAGAATCATGTAATGCCAGTGTTACTATGCTGAAATGTAAACCAGTTTAGTCTAGTCGTAGGAATTAAAGGATTTTTGTCTAAAATAAAAAATATAGAAAAATCCCACACTTGCAGCGATTTCTTAATTTGTTGCATATTTGTTACATTTACACGTTCATCAACAAATTATATTAGACAAAGATAACCCAAGTATATACGAATGGCTTTTAAATGATGTCCACATTAAACACGTTGCTTAGTGCACTGGCTAGAGTCTTGGTCCTTGTGAAGCTCTCCCAAGTTCTTGCATCAACTACTCAAAATTAAATATTCCAATATGAGATTTCTGATTGCAACAAGCTACAAGCCATTATCAACAAAATTATAATAATAAAATAAAATAAATGCAGCAAAACGTTTCTCTTTACATGTAATGATAATAGATGTTTAATTTTTGAAATCATTTACAGAAGCAATTAACTTTTCCATGATATTCTAATTTTTTTTAAACATCAGTACATGAGTTTCAGATGACTGGATTATGCTTAATTTATTGTACTGCAGTTGAATCTCCTTTCTGAGGTATTTCCCTACACAAGTCCACAGAGAGAAGTTTGCAAACATGCTCCCGTGCAGTCCCCCCAAACTCCCAACTGCACAGTGCTTGACGTGGATGACACTGCACATCAGTTCAATGGTGACTTGTTGACAAATGGGCCTGAATAGGGAAGGAACTGATATTGGAGTTCATCGGGGACAGGAGATGCATGCAAAGAGTTGGATACTTTTCATTGTTTTTAAAAACTTGGTTTCCCTTCTACTTTGTGTATGTTGCAACACTCTTCTCTGTGGCTGGCTAACAGACCAGCAGCAGCACAATCAAGACTGGCCTACAGACTAGTTGTACTTTTGACACCGACCCATTAACAATAGATAGACAGTCCAGAGCTCCCCACACACTACCACAGCTGAATCTCCATTAAAGAATCAGACAGTAATCCATTACGTGACCTCATATACATGCTTAAAAACAAAGTGGTATAATTCTGACTGAGGTTAGACGTTTTGTAGTGAACACATTATTGTTCTAAAATTTTATATAAATCCTCTCAGAGTAAACATTTAAAGCTGAAAGCTGATCATTCAGCCAGCATATGTCATTATGTCTCTCTCTGTGAAAGTAACTTTGACAGATAGCACGTTCAATTCAAGTGAAATAAACTAAAAACCTGTCTCAACCTGTATTTACTCCAACATCACAGTGATCTGAGCCACAGTATTACAAGAAGCTCCCAACAGAGCTGGGACATACGTGTATTCTGCAGTCGTCATCCACAGGATACGATCCTAGCAGAGCTTCATTCTCATTCATTTTTTGCAGGAACTTGTCAGATATGCTGAATAACTCCAGGTCCATGCAGGAGGCCGGTGCACCCATAATCATCTCCAACTTTCCCTGAATGCAACGTTGCAAATAGTTCATGTAACACAAAAGAGGTGACGTTATCAATTGAATGTGTCATTTCAATATCAACAGATATGTTAACAAAGAGAAAACCCAACAACAGACCCATCCTTGAGGGTTTTAGTGGTGCGCTGTATGCTGTCTCACCTTCAGTTCTGCTATACTGATCCCTCTGTTGAACCTGCGCTGCACCTCGAAGGAGGAGAGGGTGCTTGTTAAGCGCACGTTCACCGTGGGATTGGTTATTACTGTCACTCCGCTGTCCATTTTCCTGTCTCCTTGGACTCGGGTATTAATCAAACACTGAAAACAGGAATAAAAAATAACGTGACCCATTCAGCCAACGGGACTGAAGCTCATACGCCATCTCATAGCTGCAAACAAATTTAAGTCAATAGTCAAACAACCACAAAGACTTCCAAAAAACTGCTCCTTTTCCACCGATAGTAGCTACTTAAGCCCTTCTCTGATATTAATCCTGTCTGAAGTTAAATTTTACATATATGCTTGGTCTCTCGTGTTTATTCGTCATATTAGCTGTGATCGTATAATTTTAAATAACCATTTTTTAGCTGTGTAGTTTAGAGTAGCTAGCTACGTTAGCCACTGGGCGGCTAGCAGAGTCACGTTGGACTCACTCGGGACCCTGAGACAGACGGCAAGGTTGCCATAGTTACTTACAGATTATGTATATTTTCCTCGATGGTGCTGAAAAGGCCTTTGATCTTTGTATCTACAATTAACCGGAAGTATTCATGACTACTTGATTATAATAGCAGTGAAAATGGTGCATGTAGCCTAGATCTGTGGGTTTGCCAGAAAATTATAACCTCAATTCCTGCTACGCCCAACTCTGGAAGGTTCCACCCGCCTCCAAACTGGAACACGGCCAATCACAACGTAGGAAGGAGGAATTTTAACCAATAGCTTTACGATACGAAGAAACAGACCCTCAAGACCCGCCTATTGACCGCTAGATTGGCACAAATGGTGGCCAATCATTCGTCAGGAGTAAATGCGACCGTAGAAATAACCACATAGTGGCGCTGAAGTCCAAAATAAACTATGTAGAAGACTAAGCTGGAAAGTTTCTCTTTATTATGGATTTGTTTTAAAATATTTTTTTAAGACAGAGTATTCGTAGAGTTTGATTATAAGCACTACGCTCTATTATACAATTTTTACCCTATTGCTATTTCATACTTGGTCGACTAACAAAGAAATCTCCCCTGATAAAACCCAGATATGTGGTGAGTAAATTAAAGCACAGACAGAAAACAGAAGTGTCAAAAAAGCTGAGAACCTCAAGAAAACATAAGGGGGGG